TTCTCTTGGCAAAACTCTATTAGCCTTTGCCCTGCTTCATTCTGTACTCCAAGGCCAAATTTGCCTGTTACTCCAGGTGTTTCTTGACTTCCTACTTTTGCATTCCAGTCCCCTATAATGAAAAGGACATCTTTTTTGGGTGTTAATTCTAGAAGGTCTTGTAGGTCTTCATAGAACCGTTTAACTTCAGCTTCTTCAGCATTACTGGTCGGGGCACAGACTTGGATTACCATGATATTGAATGGTTTTCCTTGGAAACAAACAGAGATCATTCTGTCGTTTTTGAGATTGCATCCAAGTACTGCATTTCGGACTCTTTGCTGACTATGACGGCTATTCGATTTCTTCTAAGGGATTCTTGCCCACAGTGGTATATATGATGATTATCTGAGTTAAATTCACCCATTCCAGTCCATTTTAGCTCGCTGATTCCTAAAATGTTGACGTTCACTTTTGCCATTTCCTGTCTGATCAATTCCAATTTGCCTTGATTCATGGACCTAACATTCCAGGTTCCTATGCAATATTGCTCTTTACAGCATCGAACCTTGCTTCTATCACTAGTCCCATCCACAACTGGGTGTTATTTTTGCTTTGGCTCCATCCCTTCATTCTTTCTGTAGTTATTTCAAAATGTTAATCAGAACTAATAAATTATATCGTTATAACCTGTTTTGAAATATTAGACATGAAACAAACTATCTATACTTTATTCTTTTTGCATGTAAAGTTTTGGGAAAGTATACAGTTGTATGATTATCAAATATTAAATAGTTTTTCATAAGAATATAAGTTTTGGAGGGATACTGGGAAATGAGTTTGGTGTCTTCAAGGCAGAAGACACTTCAGTGAAACTTTTAATTCTTTATGAAAATAATTGAGGTGCTATCCCAACAGATGTGGTGGTAATGCTTCCAGCTGGCCTCTGACTTTTTATAAGATACCTCCAGGAGCAATAAATTTTATCAAATATATGTACTCTACATACAAACTTTTCATACTACAATATTTGACAAATAATCTGGCAAATAATACTTTAACAGATTTATAGAATTGTTTTAAAGTAGGTAAAGAATTGTCTACTCTTCTTTTTATTGAAAGACACAAAGATTTAGTTTAGTTGATTAGGAATACCAAAGATATTTGAAGATTATGGTTACTATGCAATGGTACAATTAACCAGCAACAATTAATTGCCAAATACTGTCTTAGGTCTTATGCTTTGGACACTAAAATGACCTGATTTTCTTTTTCCATTTGAGCAAATATTTAAAAATATATTGCAGTTATCATATATCACCATCAGGATCCACTGGGAGAAAACATTACCCTTCTCAGGAAAATCCAATTCTGTATTTCTCATATTGATTATTCCCCTCTGAAAGTTATTATTACCTAAATAATAGGTATTATTATTGATGAAACATAATGTATTTTACAACCATCTTTAGTTTTTTTGCATCAAGACTAAAAGGTCCTAATCTATAATTTGCAAAGATGATGGTATATGTTCCAAAGAAAGATAATAACCAGGTATAATCAGTGTATTTGTACATCAACAGCAAGGCTGTAACTATCACAGCAAGTGCAACTATAACATACAGTTCATTTTGGGATTGATTTTCCATTGTCTGTAATGAGTTTGGAGAAAGTAACTTTTCTTCTGTTAGTATTAAAATTGATGCTATGTATCCTTAGCTTCAAAGAGTGTACTTGAGCAGCATGAATTTAATAAACACAAAGTAACAGTAAAGTTCTATACACTGGTAGGTTGAATGGTAAGGATAACAAGCTCAGTTTTTCTATTTCTTTACTCCTCTCTGGTTGAACTATGCATCTTTTCAATGTCAAACCTCTAAGCTTCAGATTTGCATTTTCAATATCATCTATGTTTCACTTAACCTTTATCCTCATCAATTAAAAATACATTGACTCATTTCCTCTTGGTTTGCATTTTAAAGGACGCATTTTTTAACAGGGGCCTATGACCAAAACTGTGTTTATTTTGTAATACTGTTTCTATTTAAATTGCTTACCTAAATGAAACCAAGGTACACATTTTTAATTCAGGCTTAACTTTTTTTCATATACTATTTCCTTAAGACTGTTTATTAGAACTTATCTCTAATTTTCTCTGATAGATTCATAGTTCATGCTGAAGATTAGAATATTATTATTGAATAATTTGTTTACTTATTTCTGGTCTCAGAGCTGCTTTCTGTAATGCCTTATTATTTGCATTTTTCTTTGGTAACGCTGTTTTAACCTACCTTGGATAACCTTACATAGTTGAGTATTTAGCACCATTTCACTACCTGATAAAGGAGTCAAGGCATTCAGTTATTTAAAAAAAAAAGAATAAAATAATTAGGACACTTTACAAATGGATACATTTGTAGGCTCTCCCTACCAAGGTGCTTATCAATATATATTTTTAAGTTAAGACCTAAATACCTTCTTTAGGTTGCCAGGAAAATCCCATGGAGGGAGGAGCCTGGTAGGCTGTAGTACATGGGGTTGCTAAGAGACAGACACGACTGAGCGACTTCACTTTCATTTTTCCCTTTCATGCATTGGAGAAAAAAATGGCAACCCACTCCAGTGTTCTTGCCTGGAGAATCCCAGGGACAGAGGAGCCTGGTGGGCTGACGTCTATGGGGTCGCACAGAGTCGGACACAACTGAAGTGGCTTATCAGCAGCAGCAGCACCTTCTTTAGGTACATGGATTAGGGATAGGTCTCAAAAGGAATAAGAGCATTTTTCTCAAAATGGAACATGAATCTTCCCTAGGAAAGAAGTACATTTATATTTCACAGAATCTTCCTAGAATGGCAACTTTACTAAATAGTGAGCAATTTTAAATGAATATCATCATAACAAACACCACTAAACAAAGAATAGAGCTCAATGTAAAATACACATTCATTTTTAAATGAGTCATTCGAAATCTCATAGTGATTATAGACACCTTTGGATTTTGTCCCCCATTCTCAATCTACTTCCCACTCATCTCCCTCCCGGTCATTACAGTTGCTCGACAAGTGCAAATCATTGAGATAGTTAAAATCCTAACCTGAAAACTGAAATGGCTCTAAGATTATACTAAAATAAAAAGATTTTTGTTAGTCACAAATGGCATCTCCTCTCTTTCCCTTCATTATGTTTCTGAAAATAATGTGGATTCTCGCAATATTCATAAGGCATTGTATTATTTCATTTTTTCTTATCAATACAAACATTTGTGTGCATTCATGAACATTCATATCCTCTTTAAAACAAAGGGGCTAGTCCAAGGCAGTTGCAATGTGTTGGACATAGGTAGGCCTTGAAAGTTTTGATACACATGGACTGAGAGATCAAGGCAGGAGACAGAATCATTCTCACTGAAGCAAGTAAAGTGTAAGAGTGAGGGGTAAGACAGAAGGAGCATACTTGAATAGAAGTTTGTGAACCTCAAGATCAAAAGAAACAACAATTTGCTTGAACAGGTCATACTCCACTTTCAGGGCTGTGTCTGAAAGATACCACTGAGCAGGTTTCTCTGCTCCCAAGAGAGCCCAATACAGACAAACAATGTTTCACACAAACCCACAAGCTCACAGACACACACACAAGTTCTAGATAATTGTGAAG